ATTTTGATAAAAAATAATAATATATAATTCAATCCCGCTTTCTCGTCATCCTCATCATGTTTAATATCAATATATCTCTTTGTATACTAACTATTACACCTAATTATTCTCCAAAAAAAACTATTACACCTAATTAGAAAACTTGTTTATCGTTCATAAAATAGAAAATTGTACTTACATTGAAACTAATTATGAACATATTTGTAACAATAACCATTAGGGTACAAATATCTTTTATATATGTTGGTAACCTAAGACAATTCTGGAGCACTTCTCAGCATTATTTGTTACTTATATGTTATCATCGTCCCAAAAAAGAGTAAAGGATAAAGAAAATAGGACCACAAAATTATTACACAACTTTTTCTCTTTTCAGCATTTGTCTAATCATCCATCAAATACCTTCAGCCACCACAACTTCGCCAATGGTGACATAATGACATATTACGCGTGTGTATGTGTGTATAGCTAGCTTATCGATTCTTTTTGTGATCGCATATGCTAATAAATGATTGCCAACCTCAATATCTATAACTAATTAATACAAAGTAAAGCAAAAAAGGGAAAGAAAAAAATAAATTTACTTATTTAATAAAAGGAGGGTTATATTGATAATTTTTATTTTTTTATAAATTTACAAACTACACTATATATTAGCGGTAAGACTTTCTTGATGTCTTAGTATAATTTATAAATAAAATTTTGTAAATATAATATTCCGGTTTAATAATATCTAAAACCTTTGAATTGTGTGTTACTTGTCATCACATTGAAAAGAAAAAGGAAATAGGACCACAAAATTATATAGTGCAACCGTTTTTTATTAGATTTTGTGTAGCTGTTTATTCCACGAAACACTTTTCATCCATAACTGCTTTCCTCAACAATAGCCTATTATGCATACATAGGTTATCTACTCTCTCTCCACACAATTCCAAACTCTATGGGAATATGGTTGCGAACTTCGACATCGATAACTTGACCAGGAAATAGTGGAAAACACAATGAAATTGGATTTTGATATTTTCATCTTTGATACTCACAATTTTATTATTTTAGAAGAGAAGTAGACCTAATAATAATTTTTTATTCATGGATATGAAATTTTGTGGGAAAAAACATAATTTATTTTATATAAAATATTTTCTCTCGTGAAGTTTTGAAATTATAAATTTCACTCTACGTTAATTTTTTAATATATTTTTCATATCGTAAAATTTGAAGGTGGGAAAGGGTAAACGCGATATCAGTAAGAAGTTACCCTAATTCACGGGACGAGCTTAAATTGTCAAAGCTTAATAGTATTAAGAGCTTAGTAGGAGTAAACAAGTAGTACTAGTATTGTTCTGCAAACAAAGATGGACACAGTTGGCTAAGAGTTTGGTCCATACCTCTCAAGTGCGTGGGTTCAAACTCCGTTGGTCGATGTGAAGATTTTGTTGGTGGATGTATGTAATCTCTCCCAAAAATCTTCAAAGAGGTTGAGGGGTCTTCCCAGACCCTAGTGAAATACCGGTGTCTAACTCCGCTTAAACTTTTTCATGTCCAAAAAAAAAAGTATTGCTTTGCTTATTTCTTTGCTGGAATCAATTATATAAATAGCATATTTCTTCAGTGAATCCAGTATCCAGAGGCGTAGCCACCAAACTTGAAATTAAGCCCAGTGTTTCCTTACGAGTCGGTTAGGTACCTCAATTAGTTACCATTTGTTATTATGAAAGGAGCGAACATACACATTTTTTTTTTTTAAATATTATCAATCCGTTTATCGATTAGTTGATTAATCCAATTCGAGTTTGATAGGATCACATGGCTGACAACTTTTTCTATCAAACGCTAACACAATTGCATTCTCATTCTTAAGAATTCGAACTCGTGACTACTGAATCAATTGGAATAATTTTTATCAGTTTATCTGCATGTTTTGTGGTACATACACATATTTTTTACTTGACTTCAATACGTACATTAGATTGAATATCATAAAATGAGGTGACATCTACACAAGCATAAGATCGTACTATGCTGAAAATGATTACGCATTTCAAAATCAATGTTGGCTGAAGCAAGTGAGAAGTTGCGTTTACTGTGGATAAAATTAATTTTTACACAGTTTTTAACATAAAATTATTGTACAATTTAACACATTGCACTATTGCAGCACAAAAATAACGAGCCACAAAACAGGCTCACAGCTAATATCTTTCAAATTATCATTACACACATAACACATTACGTATTTATTCTTAAACAGCTCCACAAATTTAAAAAAATAATATAAAATAAATGTAATGTGTATGTGGAGCAGTGTTTAAAAGCCTGGCCCGGCTATCGATCCGGCCAAGGTCAGGGGTCACAGGTTCAACCGGGAGGTCACGAGGAGAACGATTAGATTTAAGTTTGCAAGCATTTTTATTTTATTTTATTAATAAAACAACGTTGTTTCATGGAATTTTCTTTAAAAGAAAATATGCAATGATTCTCTTTAACTCATCTGATCCGGAAGCCACTGAAACCCGATCCTAAAGTCACTAAAATCCGATCAAATTTTGAGGGTCAGAGAGATCAATGTGTGTATAAAATTCAATATATGACCTTAACCTTCACAAGAAAGAGGTCAGGTTGACTCGAGTCAACCCGAGAGACGGGATGAGGTTTTAAAACATTGACGATGATGTGGAGGCTAAGAATTATGATTGGCCCGTGACCAAGAACATGATGGGCCGAAACAGAGAGAAAATTGTAGCACAAGAAGATTCCCATGCAGACGAAATAGCTTGAAAAGGGTTAAAAATTTGAATTCTGAAAGGTCAGGTCACCACTAACGTTACGTCGAGGCCTGTGCCGTACGACCCATTGGTCCTACGGCTGTTGACAATGCTTTTATTATGTTTAGTACTTGCGTCCATACACACCCACATTTTTCTCTCACTGTAAATTAACGACCAAAACTTTGCTCAAGCATTCGAATCTATAGATGTGCACATTTGGTTGAACATTATCACCAACTATGTCTCTGCATCTACAGGCATTACGTTGCCATTCATCAGTCACCTCCTCACTTTTCATTTGATATGACTCTCTATTTGGCCGGCCAAGAGGCTCTCTTGATTCCACACATTCAATTGTGGTTCTTGTTGATCAAATTACTACACTTTCTGTTCCTGTTTTTTGTTTTCTGTGTTTTTTTTTTTGTAAATTTTTTTTATGAGATTAGTGTTTCTATATACACATAAAAATATGTGGGGTCATGTAAAAATAAGAGAGAGAAAAAGAAAATATAAATTTCACATACTTTTATATATGCATAAAAAATAAAATTGCATTCTACAAAATTAAAAACACTAATCCTTTCTTATTACGAAAATTCCTCTAATTGAAGGAATGAAGGCCATGCACTCTTTATGGGAGATAAGAAACGAGAATTGATATAATTTGATCCTCTCCATTATTATTTTTGAAAGGAGTTTAGAATCTTAATCCGGAGATCCGCTTCGAACCAGACTAATCACGAAGCGATGAATTAGTATTGGCAACCATCTTTTCCTAAATTTTAATTTTTTTATTAATTTATATATAAAATAATATTTTTTAATAATAATAGGTTATTAGTATTAATAGTTAGCTGATCCTTCAAATATATTTATAATAGTTAGTATTTTTTATTAATCTTAATAATATTTATAATTTTAAAATTTTATTTTTGCCTAATTATAAAAAATTCCAGGTGCATTATTGAGGTCTATATATATTTTTCTTTGGGTTCCACATGCTTTTACATATATATAGAAGATAAAATTATCTCCTATAACTAAAAATAGATAAAAAATATTATTAATTTATCTATGAATGGACGAGATCAACTTATACGAACTTATATCACATAAGATTATTTATTTCATATATTTTTAAGAGTACGTACATTTATGGTTTATTCACGTTATTTTTAACTTTTTTAAATTTTACTTAAATTAATAACCCTATTAATATAGGATACTAACTTAGTTACTTGTTGTAAAATAATTGTATTTACGGAGAGAATAGCATATATGTTTTATTTTTCGTGAAAGGTAGTTCTGTTTTCTCATATATTTATCAACGGTAAAAGACTATTATGCATTAAGGGAGGAAATATGATCCGATATTTTTCTCTTGGTCAGTAATAAAAAAAATATGGTTGACCAGTGCCTGGGTTTGCTGAACCCTTACACCGCCCTTTCTGCCATTCCATTCAGTAAAAAAGAAAGAAAAAACCACTCTCAAAAAAAGCTTCCCACAATCTGCACTACACGCTCATCCCAAGTTCCCAGCCCAGCCCCCCACTAATTTCTCAAAGCTTAATCAACCATCCCAAGCAACCTCTGTCACGCGACAATCCCTCCCCAGCACGTGCCATGCCATGCCATGCCCCCCCACGTCATCATCCTCTCTCAAACCTGACTTCGTGTTTTTCTCCGGACCAAGTACATGCTGTGTTTTCTTTATATCACAATTCAATTCAGCTGCTCCAAGATATGTTATATATCTGTCATTTTCAGCTACTTCAATAGAGGTTTCATTTATAACGGTGGTAATGTTTATAACTCATTTAAAATAATAAAATTATATAGGAAAACTGTCCGATTATAGTTATAGTTATGATATTTAAGAATTATTTAAATTTTCATAAATTATAACCTCTACCCATCCTTATATTATATATACTAAGTTAGGTACAGTTTAAAGGAATACCTTGGCCTAGGTGTCTTAACACGTGCCAAAACTCACACTCTCACGTGCCGACGACAAGCCCTCAGTTTCAAACCTCAATTTTACCTCCTCAGCATAAATACTACACAACCACCCCTCCCTCCTCTCTAAACACTTTCTCAATCTTTATGCATTCAAAGCACTGCTGCTTTCTCGCTCTACAGTGACTGTTCAAATCTTCATTGGTTCTCTTCTGAATCAAAGAATCAAAGACCCTTCTTTCTTTCTTTCTATGAAAAGACCCGTTGTTGGCGACCATGTTAGAGAGTGGCCGTGATTCTGGTATGAGCTTGGAGACTCTCAATTCCACCCAGCGAACTTCCATGAGCAGCGAAAGCATTTGTAGCACCAGCTTCAGCCGTCTCTCCTTCGACCTCCTCCCAACCTCATCGCCCGAGAGTCTCTCCATCAAGCCTCACCGTTCCTCCGACTTTGCTTACTCCGCCATACGCTCCGCCACCTACCGCCGCAAGTCCGGCCTCACCTTCCGCGACTTCCACCTCCTCCGCCGAATCGGCGCCGGCGACATCGGCACCGTGTACCTCTGCCGCCTCCGCGACGGCACCGGCGACGAATCCGACGACGAAGAAACCGCCTGCTTCTACGCCATGAAGGTGGTGGACAAGGAGGCGGTGGCGCTGAAGAAGAAGGCGCAGAGAGCGGAAACGGAGAGGAAGATTCTGAAGATGCTGGACCACCCGTTCCTCCCTACGCTGTACGCAGAGTTCGAGGCATCTCATTTCTCTTGCATTGTGATGGAGTTTTGTTCCGGTGGGGACTTGCACTCCCTGCGCCACCGCCATCCTAACAAGCGTTTCTCTCTCTCCTCTGCAAGGTAAACAAAAATCATTCTGCCACTTTTTTTGTTTCTTCTCTAGTCTTGTTATTTTCTCACCTGCTTTTTCTCTTTCCGAAAATGTCCCCTTCTTTTGGAATTTCCTTTTGTTTTCTTTCTCTCTATTTTAATTTTAAACTATATTAATCCTCTTTTTTAATTTTTAATTTTATTTTATTTACTGTTTAGGTGAGATTTTATCTGAGTTAGCCGCAAATTTCCATTATTAGACCCTGATCAATATCACTAAATCAGGCACCACATTATTTCTGTTTTATAAAGTTGTTTGATTTATTCATTTATTTATTTATTTATTTAAGTGGGAAATATTATTGTTACAGGTTTTACGCGGCTGAGGTACTGGTGGCATTGGAGTACCTCCACATGCTGGGAATCATCTACAGGGATTTAAAGCCGGAAAACGTGCTGGTTAGATCAGACGGTCACATCATGCTCTCTGATTTTGATCTCTCTCTATGCTCCGACGCAATCCCAGCCGTTGAATCACCAGATCCTGCATTACAACCTGAGTTATTACCCTACACCCGCCCCTACTCAACGCCCTTCTCCTGCCTCTCCAAGCGAGTCTTCCGGTCCAGGAAGGTCCAAACCCTGCAGTCGAACCGGCTCTTCGTTGCTGAACCTGTTGGGGCCCGGTCCTGCTCCTTCGTTGGGACCCACGAGTACGTGTCTCCGGAGGTGGCCTCCGGCAACTCTCACGGCAACGCCGTCGACTGGTGGTCCTTCGGGATATTCATCTACGAGCTGCTGTACGGCCGCACCCCGTTTGCGGGACCAACCAACGAGTCTACGCTGCGCAACATCTTAAAAAAGCCCCTCGCCTTCCCTACCACCACGCCCTCCAGCACGCTTGAGCTGCACGCGCGGGACCTGGTGTCTCGGTTGTTGAACAAGGACGCGAACCGCAGGCTCGGGTCTAAGCGAGGCGCTGCTGACGTCAAGAAGCACCCGTTCTTCGCAGGGCTCAACCTGGCGCTGATTCGGATGGTGATGCCGCCGGAGGTGCCGTGCCTGAGACGGCACAAAACGTCACCGTTGTTGCCCGTGAACGGCAACGGCAACAAACACTGCAGTAGTAGTAGTAGACAACAGCCAACGGCGTCGTTTGATTACTTTTGAAACTTCAACGATGAACGCGTTCTACGGCACGTGTTCAGTCGGTGCCCCCAGATTTTGTAACTAGCGGGTGACGTATGTGTAAATTCGATCTGCCTTTTATTTTTTAACTTTGCTTTTAAATTATATTACAGTTTAATACTTACATTCACATTTCTTTTACCTTTGTTTATATTTTTGGGATGTCTACGAGACTGTATGTGATTATGATCTATGTAGACACGGGACATGGACACAACACAACATTTTAAAATATGTTAATTTTAAAAAATGTTTGATTTAGACACGTTAGGACACGTTTTGATATTAAATAATATTTTTAATTTATGTTTCGTATATTATTTAATATTTAATAATTTAATAAAAAATAAAGTTAAATTTATAATACTCATTAATTTTGTAAAAAAATATAAGATATTACAAATATTTATATTAAATTCAATAAAATAGTAATAGTAATCCAATGAATGTAATAGTTAGAACTAAAAACGCAACTCAACTCAATCTTTGAATCTTTTTTTGAGTTTTTATAAAGCGTGTTGGAGTGTCGGACATGACACATCAGAGTTTTTGAAGTGTCGGTGTTTCATTGACTATGATAATAAAAATTGGATGCATGGCGAGCGGATGTGAAGGAGGAAGAACATGAAAGAAAAAGAGAGAAATGAATCATCTCATATATAATTTAACATGATTATTTCATGGGAAATAATAGTCTCATATTGCATAAGTGAGTTATCTTATGTCATACATTCATAGAATTTCGTGTCAATTTTTTTTTTCTTTTTACATTGTAGATTTCACATATTTTTGTCACTTACATGAGAGTACTATCTCATATAACATGAGATTAGTAAAACTCTCAAATCTTAATTATTTAAGGATAAATTAATAATCATAAGGAAAGAGAGAGAAAAATATTAGAATAAACAGTATAGTTAAGATTCTTACATGATATATAGTCTTGTTAAATTATTAGGAAATAGATTTCGATTCTTTTGAAGCTATGAAATGTGGAAATTGGGATCGTGTAATATATAACAAACGTTGCCACACTTTTTGGTTGCCGTATGACGGCATCGAGGTTATCATCTTCGTCATAGTAGGTGCCTTCAAAAGCTGAATTTGGGTCTGTTTTTCCTTTTATGGAATGCTTTGGGGACAGAGGACCATGAAAAAAAAAACTAGGCATTACTCTATATAAAAGATTCCATGCTTAATTTTCTGCTTCCCGCTTTGAGATGCGCAGATACACGCAGGAAGAGGGGAGAAAATCATATACTATGTCACAAGTATAAAGAATACATTTCGTTAATCAATTAGTGATAGCTATCAGCCATCTTAAGAAAAAGTATAATTTTTTTACACAAATGAGTTGAAATTTTAAGAGTAAAGACTCTTTTTGATTGCTAACAAAAAATACTGTCCCCACTTTAGTCTCTTACAAAAATAAATTAGTCAGTTAGTCCTTAACAAATTCAAGGTGGACCCATTTTAGTCTTTTTGAGGGACTAATATGGGTCTTTTTTGAATTTGTGAGGGACCACGATTTCAACTAAATGGGTCCACTTTGAATTTGTTAAGGACTAACTGACTAATTTATTTTTGTAAGGGACTAAAAATGGTATTTACTCAAATTTTAATATATATATTGTTCGTATTATTATTTGATAATAAATTATTTTATCATGTAATAAAAAAAAATGTGATACTATATCATTTAATATATATTAATATTACATACAATTTAATTTCTTTGCCATTTACAGTCTCCGTCAATATTGAAAAATAATATGCCTTTTTTTTATATTATATTGGATCATGGATTTTGAACTCGAGATCATTGGTTAGATGGGAATTACTTTTTTTCAATTGATCTATATGTCTCTTTGAATTGTATTGTTATCATTATCCATGTATATGTAGAGAATTATTTTAATTTAAACTGATTTCCAAAGGGTTCATCACGCAAATGTTAATTTCCAATGGAAATGACATTGGAAAAGAGCAAAACTATTTGAATTTAATTATCATTTGCAAACAAGGTTCTAAGACCCAGAAGCTGATGCTTTGACTTACTATAAGGTCAACGATGTATAAATCAAAACTCGTCGACTTAGAAAGATGCGAAATGATGCATGAGTAACGTCATTTGTTGGCAAAATGTCATATGAATTGTTATTTGATTAGAATTTAAATTATATGTATGGTTAGTGAAAATAAATTGTTTAGTATGATCTCTTAATTATTAAATTTAATTATAAATGATATAATAACACATTTTTTGATATTATTGTGATTTTTTCAATATAATGACGGTGTTTGTATTTGTCATTTAACATGACACAACAAACTTTCTTACACACACAACATTTTGTGGGACCCATATTTTTTGAAGAAAAAAAAAATTACGGCACGCAAAATGAATATCTATAACATTACATAATCACTTTTCCTACAATATAACTCTTATAAAATCCTATAATGATATATCAAAATTAAATTTATTTATTTGATTACTACAAAATCAATAAATTAGTTTGAAGTGTCAGATTATAAGGTATCATTGAACTAATAAAATAGTAGTTTTTCTGTTTACCAAAAAAAAAAAAAAAAAAATAGTAGTTTTTCTTTTTTTTTTTAAATAAATTAATGTAAAAAGCGTATCTTCTTTAACTTGCTTCTACAAGAGACGGCGAGGGGGACTCAGAACAAAAACACCATAGAGAACCTCTTGGAACTTGAGCTGCTGCTTTAGGCTTGTAGGCCTAAAACGTCTTTCGAAATATTTATGAAATACTGATACTTCAAAAATTCTTACGTGTTGTGTTTGACATTTTTCAATCGTAACTGACACTTCTGACACTCTAATACTAATTGCAAGGACTCAAAAAAGGTTCAAAGATTACATTGCATTGCATTTTGAGTTTCAAATATTAGATTCGTTATATTACGATTATCATTTTATTGAGTTTAACATAAACATTTGGGATATCTTATGTTTCTTTGCAAAATATATGTGTATTATAAGTTTAACTTTATTTTTTTGTTAAATTATTGAATATTAAATATAATATATATTACATAAATTAAAAATATTATATAATATCAAAACGTGTTCTAACACGTCAAAATTTAATATTTTTTAGAATTAATGTGTCGGAGTGTCGTGTTATATCCCGTGTCTCGTATCGATGTCGGTGCAATATAGCAAAATACGAAAGGGGTATGTGACTGTGTCTGTGCAGTAGACGATGATAATAATAATAATAATAGTAACAATAATAAGGAAAAAAAGAGTATTATTTTAAAGAATACAAATTTATATCTAGCTTTTAATTATGTATTTTCAGGAATATATAGTTATAATATTAAAGTTGTATTTTTTTAGTTTTCACATCATAATATTTGTTTACGTCTTTTGTTGAATCTTTAGTCTTTTCTTTGTCTATTGTTTTTTTGTTGAGTATCAAGTCTCTAATTTTCTTCTATTAAAAAAAAACCTATCAATATATTTATATTCTAAAATATTGAAATCTGAAAACAGCGACATAATAGTAACGTTCTAATTTATAATTATGGGTTAAAAAAAAACAAAACAAAACAAAAATTTTCTTCACAATACACATACTATATATGACCTACTAGTACTTTGATACAAAGAATTAAAAAGAGAAAAAAAAATACTATTTTAATATTATAATTATCTATTTTTGAGAATGCATAGTTACAATTGTTAAAATGACATAACTTATGTCTTTTTAAAAAGACATTCACTAAACTATAATAATAATAATAATTTGGTCGAAATTAATTCTTGTCAAATATTTCATATTCCTTATAATTATACAAATACAGCATATGTACTTATATTATTCACACACAAAAAAAAAAAAAAAAACATGTGTACTTATATTATGCCTGTCTGTCGATCTGACTATCACCAATCCCAATTATGAGTACCAGGATGTGTTTCTAGCTCGTAGCATTGTGAAGAAATGTGATTTTACAAAACTACATTTCACATTAATCAGTTTCCTTTTAGTAATATTTTCACATTATGCATATAGGATACCGTCTATGTTTGACACTAACACTTTCGGAAAAACGGTAAAGGCGTCTCATTATTAGACATATTAAAGGAGCGTTCAGGACGCGGAATTCTTCAAGAATTTCGGAAAACTGAATTTTTTTAAATTTTAAATTTACGAATATTATCATAAACTGAATGTAAAAATTATATTTTTAAAAATTGAGATTTTTGGCTAAAATTTTTTTTTTCCTATACCAAATGCTCCCTAAAAGTCTTTAAAAATTTTCAGTTTAATTGCAACTTTGTTCAATGCAAGTATGTAGTTGAATTAAACTTCATTTCAACACTCTTCTAGCTCCGTATACATGCAATGTGAATCTTTGCAAATTATATGCCACAGATTGTGATAGTATGTACGAGGGTGTTTTTCTTTATTAGCTATAGATATGGCATCTTACAATTGGAGGAATGTTGAAAGCCATAATGTGCGGTTCACGTAAAGAATTGCAGGACTTTTAACAGGATATGTTTTGACATGTCACAGCATGCAGTGTATAGACAAACAATATACCACCTTTACAGCTTGTGATAAGACAAGAAGTTTTTGATGTACCCAAAAAAAAAATGAAAGTTAACTAATCAAATTACTTAGCATTTGTGATCCTTTTGATTACGTGAGATTAATTATCATAAATATAATTTATACAAAAATTATTTGTACATTGCATATTTCTTTTTGAGGTAGGATCATTTGACACCGGTGTCAAATTTTAAATTTGACACCTCATCTTATAGCCGTTAGATCAAAAAAGATCAACGACTCTGATTTGTAAGCATGTGACTCCATTGATCTTTTTTAATCTAACGGCTATAAGATGAGGTGTCAAAGGATCCAACCTCTTTCTTTTTGGGTGCATGTATATAACTTGTTTTTTGTCTCCCAAATATGGAATATAGTTAGTTACTGGATCAATTCAAATGTAGGTATCTCTTTACTTTTGTTTCGTGAAACTAGAAACGAGAAATTAGGC